TTTTTTTTTTTTTTTTTTTTTTTTTTTTTTTTTTTTTTTGGTTTTCGCAGGAATAAGAGATCCAAACGATAAGCGGCAGTTTTGCCGCTGAGTTTAAATTGAGGGGCGGAGAGAATATCTTCATATACACCTCAACGAATTTATTTTCATTTCTTTTTCTTTTTCTTCTTTTTCTGCTTTTTCTTTTTCTTATTGATGGGGCCCTCGTCCTCTTGGTGGATGTATTGCTTCGCACAAACACTCGCCCGCAGGAAGTGGTTTCTTCAGTGGTCCACTGTTCTTTTCTTAGTGGTCCACTGTTTTCCTCAGTGGTCCACTGTCATCTTCAGTGGTCCACTGCTCTTCTGAGTGGTCCACTGGCTTTGTCAGTGGTCCACAGATTTCTTTAGTGGTCCACTGCTCCCCGAATGTTTCTGCGGCATATTTCAATGGTCCAGTGGTTTCTTCTGTGGTCCACTGGTTCGGGTGCGTGTCTGTCTGTCTAAGAGAGAGAGAGAGAGATGGAGTGGACCACTGGTCACCTCACCTCTGGACCAGTAACAGTGAAGCCTCTATTTGGCGCAAACTTTGCGGAGTTGAGCGATGTACTTCTCGGCGTCGCTCAGCTGCTGCAGCTCTGCTAGTTTTCTCTCCTGTACACCCGAAAAGGAAAAAGAGGGAGCAGCAGCAACTTAAATATTTTGCTTTTTCTACACAAATATTTTATTCTTTTCTTTATTTTATAATATTAAAAATAAATCAATACATTATATTATTTCCTCTTTTTTATTATTATTTTATTACGAGGAATTCAGTATATATTATATTATAATAAATTATATTATATATTATATATATAATATAATTTATTATAATATAATAAATTATATTATATATATTGTATATTATATATTATATATTTAGATATTTAATAGACTATAATAAACTAAATACAGTATTTACACACTTATACAAAACAAATTAATTATAGATAAACAGATAAATACGTGTATAAAGGTTC